GTGTGTGTGTGTGTGTGTGTGTGTGTGTGTGTGTGTGTGTGTGTGTGTGTGTAGGAGCTATGGAAACAAAAGAAAGAGATGTTCCTACCTTTAGGTACTGACAACCCAGCCAAAGAAGGAAGTCTGCTCTGGACATGAGGAAACGGCCCTGGGTCTGAGGTGGGCACCTCAGGATTGGCAGGATTTTGACTTTAGCTCTAGTTTATAGGCTGGGACGTTGGCAACTCAGGAGCCTCACTTTCCTCTTCTGTAGATTAGGTTTAAAGTCCTGACTTTTGGGTTTGTGCGGGAGGATGAAGTAAGAGGCCAGGTGGGAAAAAGGTTTGTCAATGGTGAGATGCTGCCCAATGTGTTACTACTAATACTGACACTGCAATCCTTACTGTAAATGCCTTACCGGGGGGAATTTGTTTTGTTCATTGTTTTATCCTACCCTTAGCACAGTGTTTGGTGAGCAGTATAATCTTAGAATATGAATTGAACAGATGGATGATAAAGTAATATGCTGTACTTAAAAGAGAATGGACAGCAAGCCAGAGGCCCAGCATCCGGTCCCAGTTCTGCTCCCGATCCTGTTGTCACCATGGGCAAATCTCTTCTCTTCTCTGGGCCTCAGTTCTTCCATCTGTCCAATGAAGGTTTGGGTAAGGAGTTATAGTCTATGGCGTTAATGACAAAATCAGCCTCCAGGACTGAGTTCCTGCTCCTGGTTGGTATTGGGGTGGGTGGGGGTGTGATGAGACGCTGGGGTCCTGTCTGTTTGTCCTTTTACAGGGAGACCTTTACAGAGGGACCCCTCCTCCCCACCCTAGGCCCATGAACAAGGCCTCGTTGAGGAGAGGGGAGTGCTCCTCTTTGTCAGTGGCAGCCCCCCCCCAATGAGGGTTGGCCCAGGAGGAGGCACAGTTGAGCTGCAGTGTGGGAGCACTCCCTGACTGGTCCTGGGGGAGTGTGTCTGGGTAGGGTGTGGAGCCCATTCCCGGAAGGACAAATGCTGGGCCCCCAGCACAGCCACCTCTCTGACCGGCCCCCATTGGGTTCCTTGGCAGCAGGGTGGGTGGGGAAAGGAGCCTCTGTTGTATCTTTGCACATGCATGTGTGTCTGTGATGGTGTGGGCTGTACTGGGGCGTTGGCCCTGGCTGTAGTCACATGTGCCTGGAACATGACCAACGTGCAGGAGGGTCTGGTACAGCCCAGCAGTTCCCAGAAGCAGAATCATCAACCAAGCCAGCTGAGAGGTTGGTGTACCTTTCTTCCCTTGTGTCTTCAGCCAAGGAGGATCCAAAGCCAGACTCTGTGTGTGTGTGTGTGTGTGTGTGTGTGTGTGTGTGTGAGAGAGAGAGAGAGAGAGAAAGAGAGAGAGAAAGAGAGAGAGAATATGTGGGGGGAGGACCACTGCTCAGCAGTCCCTCCCCACCCCCTTAGTTCTGTAGGAGGGGGACCCTTAGGGCCTGGGTTTGATGCTGAGCTCAGCTGGCTGATGGGAGAAGCATGTCAAACATTTGTGCAGGCCCCTTTATAGTTTATAAAGTCCATTTCAGTTTACCAAGTGCTGTACTGTTGATAAGACAAACCCCTTATCACTCCTACCCATCTTACTTTCTTTTACAACAATGCTTGAATTCTTGAGGTTGCCCCTCCCCGCCCCCCCCCGCCCCACCCTGCGGATTTTTCAGATGCAGATCACAAGTCTCAGAGCTCACTCACTCAAGGTGGTGGGGGGCATGGCTAAGACCCAGAATCCTGATGCTCTGATCTCAAGTCCTGTGATTTCTCTTCAGCTGTCGCTGGTGGCGGCTGGTTTGGTGCACGGCTGATTGGTTCACTCATTCATTCCTTCAACAAATGTTTTCTCAGGGTTGGGGAGTTGCTCACAGTTACTGAGCAATAACCATTTGGATTGACTGCTTCATTCTGCTTTTACAACTACCTGGTGAGGAAGATTTATTATCCCCATTTTGCAAATGAGGAAAGGGAGCCGCTGAGAGCCAAAGAGCAGCTAGGGAAGAGCAGAGCCCCGTGTGGATCCTGGTCTGTGGGACCCCAAGGTCTAGGCCCTGTACCCTATGTTTTCCCTTGGGCTGGGCCTCGGGTACCCACAAGGGCACCAGCAGGACGGATGCAGGAGTTCCCAGGCTGGAAGGCGTGGTCCTTTGGTGTGATTCCTGGTATAATGGAGGGGTAAGCCCAGTACTAAGAATCCCACAGGAAGACATGCCTCTCCACTCCCTCCCCTGGCCCTGGCCTACTTCCCAGAAGGAGGAGGGAGGGGGAGGAGACCCACAGATACCATCTGGGTATTTGGGAGCCAGAAGGAAAGACCCAGGCCAGGTTCAGGGTCCCCCACCTCCACAGGGATGTCCTAGACCAGCTGAGCCCAGACTGAGTCTCACCAGGGCAATATATATTCCTGGGGTCAGGGAAGGGCCCTTTGTGAGAAGGGAGATTGGGAAAATCTGGTACCCAGGCCACTCCCACCTCAAGAGCCCTAGACCTTGTCCCTGACCTCTCAGAGACAAGGAATTCCATTTCTCCACCCAGAAATGTGCCCGGCACGGTGCTGGACTCCTTGTCTTCGAAACTGTGGGGAGCCCAGAATTCCCCAGAGGTCAAGATACTTGCTCCCTCAATTTCCCCCTCAAATCCCTCCGCTTTTTGGAGAAACGGTAGCGAAAGCACTCCATGAGAGGAATCTTTAAAGAGTCTGGCCAGCATCGTCAGGCCAGGGCCCAAATGCCAAGGAACAGGGGAGGTCAGAATAGGAGTAACTCATTGACTGAGCATCTCCTATATGCCAGGCACTTTAGCAGTTTACCTGCCTTCAACCTCAGGCTATCCTATGAGGTCATTGTTGATATTATTCTCATTTTATACATGAGAAAAGTAGGACTCACAGAAGAGAAATGATTAAACTGTTGTGTTTGAGAGGTCTCAGGAAATCTAAGGGCTGGGAGTGACTGAGGCTGGTGTGTGAGGGTTTGGAAGTAGAGGATGAGGGACAATGTAACTGTGTGTGTGTTTATCTATTAGTAAATGTCTCTTTTTTTGAGAGAGAGAGAGCGAGCATGTGTGCGTGTGCACACACACACGAGTTGGGGGTAGGGAAGAGAGAATTCCAAGCAGGCGCCATGCCCAGAACAGAGCCCAATACTGGGCTTGATCTCATGACCCTGAGATCATGACCTGAGCCAAAATCAAGAGTTGGACGCTTAGCTGACTGAGCCAGATGCCCCTACTAGTAAATATTGCGTGTTTGCTGTGGAGGAGGCTTGTGTACATACTGGTGAAATGCCAGAAGCCTTGAACCCAGGGAATTCCCAACCCAAAGGAAAAAGAAACCAACAGCCATTATAATGCAGTGCGATGTGTTGTGTTATGGAAACCCCAGGCAGCATCTCTAGCTCTGTCTGGGTTGAGGGTACCTGGGTGGCTCAGTTGGTTAGGCGACTGCCTTAGGCTCAGGTCATGATCTTGGATTTCCGGGATTCTAGTCCTGCTTCCGGCTCCCTGCTCAGCGGGGAGTCTGCTTCTCCCTCTGACCCTCCCCCCTCTCATGTGCTCTCTATCTCATTCTCTCTCTCAAATAAATAAATAAAATATTAAAAACAAAAACAAAAACTCTGTCTGGGTTGAGAAGCCAGACTAATGGTAGCTAGCATTCCTTGAGCTTTGATTATGGATCAGGCATTTTCTATTTAATCCTTACAACAACCCTATGAAGTATTCTTCTTCTTATTTTTACAGAGGAGTAAACAGAGGCCCATTGGAGGTTAAATTAATTATCTTGGGTAAGAATCAGCTGATGGCATTTTGCCAACTGTCACTAGCTGCCATAAAAAGATGTGACTGTTTCCTGGAAGCTTTCAGAGTTAATGATACATCTGGAAGCCTGATGTAGGTGGCTTCAGGCTGGCGTGAACTCCATGTGAGCTGTTGCAGTGACTGTGCTGCTATTTTGAGGAACATTTGATCTGATCTAATTAGAAAATTGGATTTCCTGTAGATACAGTTTTGTAGAGCTGTTGACTGTGAATATCTTGAATTGTGCTAAGCCCTTTACACACATTATTCATCAAATATTCATGGCACTCTGGGGATATATGTGCTTGGAACATCCCCAGCTCCATTCACAGAGGAAGGACCTGAGGCTCGGGGAGCAGTGTGCTTGGCAATGGTCACAAGCTAGGGCAGGATAGAGGCAGAATTCTGGTTTGTCTGACCAGAGTCTGTGGTCTTAACCACTGTTCTTTCCAAACACTTTGTATCCTTTACCTCACTGGCTGCTCACAAAAACTCCAGGTGTGATTGTCCCCATTTTACAGATGAGGCCCAGAGAGGGTCAACAGTTTTACTAAAGTTGCAGAGCAGTAGGTCTTAAAGCTGAGCCCTATGATTCTAAGTTAAGAATATA